TGCACCATGGTTAGGTAACAGCAAAGGAGAGTATGCAACATCATCAAATTGGTCAGAAGCAACAGAGGATGAATGCAGGGATGGTGGTTCGACAGTGGACACAGGAAGGTTGGCAAAGGGAAAAACATGCTCATCAAACACGACGTCCCGAGATATATAGACACGATTAGTGGGAACATGAAGACATTTGTAACCTTTATGAAGAGAGCTATAGCCAAGAAAAACACACTTCTTAGAACGAAACTCAAGCTTGCGCTTGTTATATGGACGAAGATGCGGCCAGCAAGCACACCCAAATACCTTGAGAAAGGTATAATCAGGTTGTTCATTAAGGAGAACCTCAATGGGAGTCTTCATGTTTAAAACACGAGTAGGAGTACGGTTGATGAGAAAGCATGCAGTGGTGAAAGCATCACTCCAAAACCGAAACGGAACAGATGCATGGGCCAAAAGAGTAAGACCAGCTTCAACAATATGACGATGCTTACATTCGACTGAAGCATTCTGCTGATGTGTATGTGGACATGCTAAACGATGAGCTATCCCAAGCGACTGAAAGAAAGAGTTGAGGTTGCGATACTCGCCCCCCAGTCTGACTGGACATGAACAATTTTGTGCTTGAGAAGACGTTCAACATGTTTTTGAAACTGAACAAAAATATCAAACACATCAGATTTGCGTTTAATAAGGTAAAGCCAGGTAAAGCGACTATAAGCATCAACGAAACTGATATAGTAATTATGACCACTGACAGAAGTCTGAGCAGGACCCCAGACATCTGAAAACACAAGTTCTAAAGGATGTTTCACCTCACGACTGGACTCCGAAAAAGGAAGTTGATGACTCTTCCCCTGCTGACAAGCATCACACACTGCTACATCTTTATGACTAGACAAACTAGGAAGCTCATGACGACACAAAATATGACGGACAATAGGTGTGGCCGGGTGACCAAGACGAGCATGCCACTGTGACGGAGAGACCCGAACTCCACTGAAAACACGAGCGACACCAGGATGCTCCAGACGGTAGAGGCCCTGGCACAACCGCCCACTAAGAAGAATGTCCCTCGTGCCCTGATCCTTAATAAAAAGATCAAAAGGGTGAAATTCACAAAGCACATTATTATCACGTGTGAGTTTAGGAACTGAAAGAAGATTACGGGTCACAGATGGAACTCAAAGAACATTGCGAAGCTGAAGACTCCTATTGGCATGTCTAGTGAGAAGAGATGCTTGACCAATATGAGAGATGTGCATACCTGCTCCATTGGCGGTGTGGACCTTGTCGGAGCCATGATAGGGTTCACGAGTGTGAAGCTTCCCCATCTCGCTGGTTAGATGCTCTGTCGCCCCAGAGTCCATGTACCAGTGTGGATCGATGGAGTAGGACTGAGTGTGTCCCTGTTGCTTCTGCGGCGCGGGACGATCAGCCATCGCGACCTGACGGGCATTGTTGCGTGTATCTTTGCCGTCATTGCCAAGACCAAGGAAGCTTCGCTGGAAGCGCTTATGACACTTGGAGGCCCAGTGCCCATCGCGGCCACAAAGCTGACACACACGTGGACCGCCAGCCCCCGGTAAGGTCGCAGTAGGTGGGGGGGCCGAGGCGGGCGACGGTGGCAGCCCCAAGGGAGACCGGGGTGATGAAGAAGAGCGGCCACCCTTGGTGGCGGCGTTGGCCGAGAGGGAGCCAGTGCCCCTGGTGCGGCGAGTCTCGACCCGTTGCTCAGTGAGAAGGAGCCGACAGAAAACCTCGTGTGCCAGCATGGGTGTCGAGTTGCCCCGCTCGTTGATGATCTCGACTAAGGCATCATACTCCTCATCAAGACCATTGACAATAAACGAGTTGAACTCGGAGTCGGTGAGGGGATGTCCAATGGAGGCCAATGTGTCGGCGAGGCCCTTGACCTTGTTGTAGAACTCAGTGGCAGTGGAGTCAAGCTTCTGACACTCTCCAAGCTGACGACGGAGTGCAGAGACACGAGCCTGGGACTGCGCTGCAAAGGTGCGCTCAAGGATGGTCCAGGCCTCATGAGACGTCTTCGCGAAGATAACAAGGCCGGCAACTGCCGGCGAGAGCGACCCCTGGATGGAGGAGAGGTTCGCCTGGTCCTGCCCCGTCCAGACGCGATGGGCCGGATTGTAGACCGGACCGTGCACGCTGTCTACCAGCGCGGGTGGGCAGGGAAGCGATCCGTCGACGTAGCCTAGCAGGTAGTGACTCCCCAAGAGCGGGAGAACCTGCACACGCCAGAAGATGTAGTTGTCGGCGGAGAGCTTGATGGTGATGAGATGACCGAAGTGAAACGGCGGCGGCGAAGACAATCCCATCAAGGAGGCTGCCTGGGGTGCAAACACCATGGAGGCAGCCGGAGGCACCGAAGCCGATGCGGGAGGAGGCGGGACCGCAGCCAGGGCGGGCGCCGCAAAGCTCGCGGCCGGTGCGGACGCCGCAAGGCCCGCGGCCGGGGCGGACGCCGCCAACCCCGCCAGCGGGGCAGTGTGATCCGCTTGCGGCAGGAGCGGCGGGACGACGCCTGCGGAGTCCGCAGCGGACGGTGGCGCCGCGGTGTGGACCACGAGATCACGCCCAAGCGAGGGCGCCGGCGGCGTGGAGAAGACGGAGCCGATGCTCCTTGTCCCGATCGGAGCCGGAACAGAGACGACATCGAGCGGGAGGTTGAGCAGAGCCGCATGAGAGGCCGGGAGGAAGCCCGCAGCAGTGGAACCGGTGGTGGCGGCGCTCGACATGGCGGCGGCGCGATCGGTGGCGCGGCGGCGGCGGTGAAGGCGGCGGCGGCTGCGGCGGCGGTGCGGGTATTAGGGTTTAGAAGCGGAAGCGATCGTAACCTAGCGTGATACCATGTAAGACAATAAGTTTTGGGGAATCAGCACAACCCTCTAGGGGTGGCTTATCTCATTATATATAATGGTTGTGTTACTCGTTACAATATGTACCATATACGTACATAGGCCAGTAGTAGCCACAACGACGACAGTGCCAGTCCCGGCGACACTCGGCGCGTGGGTGCCCCCGGTAGAGGCATTTGAAGCAGTCGTCGGAGTCGCGACGCACCGGAGAAGGAGGGGAGGCCAGGCGGCGCGACGGGGCGCGGTGACGGGGTCTCGGCCGGCGCTGACGCGGAGAGCGGAGCCGGCGGTCTCGTCGGCAGGCGCGGGCTCCTCCGCCACGGGCACGGGTTGGATCTCCGAGCGCGGGATCCGCCTAGGGGCGACCGCCGTCGCCGGCACAGGGGAAGGCGCGGGCTCGTCGCAGAGCGCCTGGCGGTAGGAGCGGAGCGGGCTCGCCGAGGGTGGCGGGCTGTCCTCCAGCCAGCGCAGCTCGCGGGGACGGCCCCCGCCGGAGGGCGTGGGAGAGGACATGCCGCAGGGGTCGGGCTTCAGCTGGTGGATGCCGGGGCTGGAGTGGCCGCCGGCGGTGGCTGCGGGTGGGAGAACAAGTAGGTAAGATAAGACAATCAGCCAATCTAAAAATGAGAAAAGGGCTATCTGATCTCCACCGACAGGAAATAGATTTTCATCACCAGTCCAAAGCTATAATGGCAAGACAACTTCGGGCAAGAAAGCAATGGCTCCTTTGGCAACGTGATTCAGACAGAAAAAACAGGCAAAATGAAGCAAGACAAAGAGAGCAAGAACAGAGGAATAAACAGGCAAAGAAACAACCTAGTCAAGCAACGTACAGGTCCAACGATGACAAGAAGAGCTTGCGGAACATGAAAGAATGAAGAACGAGGGCAACCACAGTTAGGCAAGAAGTTAACCCGGAGAAAAGAAAGAGAAAACCCGTATCGGAGCCAAAAGACAGGCCATACCGGGCAACACAGACGAGAAGCATAGCCAACCTCGAGAGAATCTAGAGAGGAGCGAAGCGAGGGACCGGAGGACGAGATTCTCGTGGCACGACGACTCTATCTGGCAAGGCGGCAGATTGTAGGGGACGAACACCTACGAGAGGCTGTTGTCGGGTGGCTTGGAAACAGACGACGCTGCGAGGCAAGTAGGGAGAAGAGGAGGTCCACCCCCTTATATACGAGCACCAAACCGACCCCAAACGGACGGGCACATCCAACAACGTATGACAGCGAACAACACCACTCGGGCAGCCGACGACACGCAATCTCCACCCCAACGCAAGAGGAGTCTGACAAACGCAACGCCCATGATCCACCCGTCATGGAACCCTGAGGCATATCTCCCGGGTGTGCGCCGTCCGGGTAGATCGAAAGGTGCGGCGTGCCTCGGGAAGCCAACCACGGCAGGCCAACGCGAAACGGATGGCGAGAAAGGCCTCCTCGCCAGCGGAGGCTGCAAGGAGGCACGCGGTCGGCCGGCGCGAGCCAAGCACCCCAGCGTGGGGGGAAGGACGCTGACAGACAGACCCGGTCTGGCCATCGTGAGCGGGGCAATGCGCGAGAGGTCTCACGCGGGCGCACATGACAACTCCAGATGACGGCGGCCCGGGCCACAGTCCCTCCGTCACGGACCTCCAAGGCACGTCGTCTAGGTGCGCGCCGTTCGGACAGATCAGACAGCACAAAAAGCACCAGGGAGACCCCTGGCATGCCACCGCAAAACGGACGACATGGAGGGTACTCTCACCCGCGGAGGCTCCCAAGAGGCGAGTACTACATCATTCTTTAAAGAAGTAATACAGCATATAGTGTTTCACTCATAATCAACCAACTTTCTTAAACATATAAACTTAAGTACGTTTGAGCAAGTAATAATTCTATGCTGGACATGTAAGTAATTTTATGTATAAATCAACATTAAGATGTTTCGGATATTAACAGATCCAAGTATAACATCAGAAATAAACACTGAAGCCTTGCATGCATAAAAGTCAAACAATCACATGTCAACTATGACCTTCCCCGTTGCATGGCCGCTCAAGCTCTTTTCCCACGCATCTGCCGCCTTCTCGAATGGATGCCGCGAGTCGATGACCGTCTTGAGCTTCCTTTCCTTCACCAGCTAAAGCAAAAACCTGAGGTCCTCCATACCCAGCGACAGGATAACCGTGGACAGCTTCTTCTTGGAGAATAGCGTCAGAATGGACGCGACAAAGTTCCCAAAGTTGGGAGCTACGTCGACGACTCTGCCGTGGCTGCTGAGACTCGGCTTGAACGCCGACCACTTGCCGCCGTTCGTGGTGTTGACGATGTAGTCGTACTTCTTGCCGGAAGAGTTCTTCAGTGCCGCGCCTTCCGGGGTCTTGTAGTCGAGCGCCTCGTCGGCGCCCATGTCCGCGACAAGCTCCAGGTTGCGCGCGCCGCAGGTGGCCGTGACGTTGTGGTTCCCGAGCTTAGCGAGCTGGACGGCGTACGAGCCGATGCCGCCGGACGCAGCGGTGATCAGGATGTTGCTGCCAACGCCCGTGCCGTCAAACTTGGTGCCGATGGCCTTCACGGCCTGAAGCGCCGTGAGGCCGGCCACGGGAAGCCCTGCGGCATCCGCAGAGGACACGCCGGCAGGGAGGGGGACGGTGATGCTCTCGGATGCCGCCACGTACTCTGCGAGGCCACCAGCTTTCTGCCGGCGCGATTCGTCTCTCGTTAATGATGGATGCCACCAAATGAAATGGATGTTAAATGCTGAGCAAGTTCGAAATTACCCAGAATATCAACTTGGAGACAACCTTGTCGCCAACTTTGAACTCTTGAACCGCAGAACCAACCTCGACAATCTCTCCAGCAACGTCGGTTACTGTTTGACAAATCGCGAGCATTTTGATAATTTGGAAAAAGAATTATGTATCATCTAAAGCGAAGCCATTCATTCCTTCCGACTGAATTTCATTGGAAATGCAGGAGCTAAAATATGGTGAACAGGTAATATCTCTTACTACTACATCAGTGCTCACTGTTACCGCGATAAATAAACTAGTAAATGCATCAATACCTGGAATAAATGGAAATTGAGGGACAAAAGGACGTAGCAGTCCCTTCTGTATCCGACAATCGGCTGGATTGATGCTTGCTGCTTCAACTTTTATAAGAACTTCACCTTTTTTCAGTGATGGAACAGGGATCTCCACATACTGCATAAAAACAGATTGATTTTCTTTCCTTTTGTTTTCAGATTAGCAAAAGAATGGGCTCTCAAGCCAATTGAACTAATTCTTTTGCAAAGCTCCAAGAGTAGCAAAACAGTACATAAGAAATAAAAAACTTCATGACTTATTTGCAGCAGCATGTACTGTTCTTTCAAGAAAATGTTTTGGCTTTTTACGGTGCCTCCAGCGGTACAAAGTCAACTCTATTGGCTCCACAGAGTGTAGCCCGTATCCCCTTACACGATCAACTTATTTTCAGGTAGCTACCATATCTAAGAAAATCCCGATAAGTGCGGAAGTTTCATCACAAATATAGTCGTACATGCTAGTGTAGCATGTCTCCAGATGATAAACAGGTTATGGGCAATAGTTTGCAGAAAAGCAGATGCAATTCCACCGAAATGGTTACCAAGATCATCCATTCCAAAGTACACTACTTGCGAGATAGAAGAAAAATGCAAATTAGGCTGACCTTGAGGGCAGCGCTGCCACCACCGTAGCCACTGTACTGGACGGCGCGCATGGTGGTTGGCCTCCCGCCGGTTGCCATTTTCCTGAGCTAAAACTGCGCACTGTACTTGTTGGATGGAGCTGGGTTAGAAGATAGCACAAGAGCATATAGTGCCCCAACTTGAGGGCGTCTGCAATGCTGCATACGCTACCATCTACCAAAGGCATCTGACTTGGGTATGAAGGGTTTGACCGTGATTGAGTTAGCTCTTCGAAATTTAATGCACCAACAGTTCTTTTAGCACCACTTGGTGTTTGACTCTGATTATAATTAGGCTACTTGTTATATTGGTCAATTGTTGTCGCAATCGCCGCACCAATCATTATGCAGTTTGCTAAATGCAATGACCCTGCAAGAAAAAGAATAGTTGCCAATGCGATGAACGCGTCGCATCATGCGGTGTCAGATGCGGATAATCCCCTCTGCACGGATGTGGAGACGCACCATGTTTACATGAAATGCATACTCCCTTCATTTTTTATACAAAGCCACAAACTCGGATTACAGATACTAATATAAAATTTAATGTCTGTTTTACAGGTCAATTTTTCTTCTTGTTTACTGGGATCATTAATACCCCGCATGCATGCAAAAAACCGAGTGTAGGCAGAGTAGATGACTGTCATTATGACTGCATGCATGCAAGTATTTAACAGGTTGTTACTACGAGAAAATATCATTAACTTTGCCTCGATTACTGTTGGTGGCCTTGTATAGATGCAAAATGTATATATTTCATAGTGGCCTTGTCTAAAAATGGATGGAGTATTATGAGTGGTCGTTCTTATATAACATCGCTTGTAGTTCATTTGAAATTCTATCGTGTTCAGTGGTCAGATGCTCCGTACTCATGTTTTTCTAAGGCAGTACAATCGAGATGCTCACATGCAAAGCTGAAATAAAATCAGAAATATGCGAGCACCAATGACAAGTCTAGAATTTAAATGCTGGTGGGCTGGTTTCATCATAAGGAACATAAACCATGCGAGTTACGCTCATTTCGTCGCCGCACCCATGTTGAAGGTGCTGATTTAGGGGACCTTCTCGATGTCCCTTTTTTTCAAAAATAGGATGTTCGAGTTGAACTTTAATGTTTACCGCATGACAATAGGAGGTCATGTTTTTTATCATTTATTTTACTTCTAACATTGTGCATCCTCAATGTTTTTTTATGCCATCAAGTTTCTTTTATCTTTTCTTTTACTTCTAACATTGTGCATCCTCAATGTCTCTTTGATGCCATCATGTTTTTTTATCTTTTCTTTTACTTCTAATATTGTGCATCCTCGATGTCTCTTTGATGCCATCATGTTTTTTTATCTTTTCTTTTACTTCTAATATTGTGCATCCTCAATGTCTCTTTGATGCCATGTTGTTACATAAACTAGAACTACACACCATAATTAATTATTCCTGCAATTTTTTCTTATAGTTGGGGTACAAGATGTGGCCACCATTGGCGGAACCAACCTTGCTACAAAGACGGAAGTGACAATGCAAATACCTACACTACCATCCAACGACTATAGTAGGTCCAACCAGTAATGGTTAAACTGAAAGCACACTTTCATCAGAGCCGGACATCATCCGTTGGCGTCGGAATGAAAGTGGAGCCTATACTGCATCTTCCTGTTACCATGCGTTATTCTACAGATCTATCCCGACCCAAATTGGGGGCTTACCTGGAAAGGATGTGCTCCCTTTAATGTCAAAATTATACTCTCGCTCGCGAAGCAAGACCGGTGCTGGACGGCCAAGAGACTGGCTAGGCGCGACTTGGCTCACCTCCCACCGTGTTGTGTGCTCTGTGATCAGGGCACCGAAGACATCCACCACCTTCTCGCAGGCTGCGTGTTCTTCAGGACAATTTGGCACCGCACCCTCGCCTTGTGCAAGTATCACCCCTCCGCCTGATGGTCGCATGCCCCTCTATGACTAGTGGAGTGCGGCGCTAGCCGCATCACCTGCATGCCTACGCAAAGGCCGTGTGTCCATTATCCCTTTGGTGGCTTGGATAATATGAAAACATCGAAGTGCTGTTATCTTTGATCATCGGTAACCATCCATTGATGACTTGTTCTCGACCATTCAAGATGAAGTGCGCACTTGGGCCAAAGCCGACGCCAAAAGGGATCCAAGCCTTGCTTTATATAACGTAAATATTAGATTTTGGTGCCGAGCGATTCCTTTCTTATGCTCGTGAGAATCTCCAACATGCCTCACTAGTGTACATGTTGGAGGTTCTCCACCTTTGTAACCTACTCTGCCTATCGGTGCAATGATACGCTTCCATGAGTATTGAAGAAAATAAAAGGCTGCAAACACCCCTAGAAATGGAAGCAAGTTTTCATCTTTATCTTCCAAACTAACACCTTCAAGAGTGAGACACAAATCCGCCAACGTCATGACAGTAGGCTGCCATTCTTTTTTCTTTTCTCCTTTACTTTTGGCGGTATGTTCATCTCCAACGTCTCTTTGACATCATGTCGTCGGAGTCCAAATGTTCTCTGCTTCATCTGACGCTTTAATGGAGTGCCCTTTATTGAAAACAAAAGGACGATGGTAGGAGCTATGAAAAGAAATTAAAGAACCACTTTAGTCAAACCAGAAATAGTAAGGGTGACAGCAAAATGTGGGGTACATGCTTGACTTTAAAAATTGGTGGACTTCTTGCAAATTGATGACTCGTACAACCTTATCAACATGAGCTTCTTTCGTCATTTTCCAATTTATTTTTTGTTCAACTACACATTTCAAAGGTATTTTAGTACTCCATCCTTTGCAGCTATGATGTATATAACATAATTTATTATTGTTGGAGTACAAGATGTGGATTGGTGAAAACAATCCTCACTATGAGAACGGAAGTTACAACAAACAGCTATAATGCTGCCAAAGAACGATAGTCGGTCCAACTAGTAATGGTTAGACCAAAAATACCCATGGAAGCAACTTACAATCTTAATCTTCAAAACCAACACCTTCAAGAGGAGATGGCGTACACTAAACAGGCCAGCCATGCCTAATTTAGTCGATGAAGGTATACTCAATCTAGAAGGTATATTGCACAAACTAACCATGCATTCAAGCACATCCTATTCGACCATATCAATAATGGCGGATCAATTCGTCACATAGCCACCTAGCTCGGACAAAAGAGTTAGCGACATTATGTGCTTGAAGACGGATGGATAAGTTGCCGGCTCCAACCATTGAAGAACATGCCATGAGCAGTTGCCTCAAACACATCACCTTCTGGTCAGAGATGGTGTATATATGTATCTGTCAGGATTGGATGGCCTCAAAGACATCATCACAAGTTCTCACTCTAGAAAAAATATCATCAATCGGTGTTCGAAGCATCAAAAAATTGGGCATCATATGCCCTGATAAAGGCTAGAGAGAAAACTCACTCGTGAACGGTGGGAGCAAATCAGAGGCTGCATCCAACCACGGTGATGTGAACGAAAGATGAGGCACCGGCTCCTGCCAAGGAGTAACAACAGGTCATACATGGCCACCCGCGGTTTTTGATGGTGAACATAAAGTTGCTTTCATGTACTATGTCCCATGTAATTGTGTAGCACCATTGCAAGTCCATTTTTTGGGAAAATGTTTCGTAGAGGATATTATTGTAGCCATGTCCTATACCTTTGTTCCAGATGAAGTGATTCATTTGCTTTTGACACTTCTTCAACTTGTGTAATCTGTTGGCCTCGGTAATAAAATCATAGGCCCGCAAAAAAAAATCATAGGAATCTCTATATTGTTTAAAAAATAGTGGTCATAATATTTATACTCACTTCATGGTAAATATCTCTTCCTGCAAATGAAAAACACTAGATGTTTGATTTGCTTATGAATTACACGACCAAACGAGACCAATCAAGCACTTGACGAACATAACAGCAGAAATTTACAGTAAAAGTGTACATATATGCATGAAGCTCACATCACAACTATGACCTTTCCTGTGGCGTGCCCGCTCATGCTCTTCTCCCACGCGGCCGCTGCCTTCTCGAATGGATGGCGTGAGTCGACAACCGTCTTGAGCTTCCCTTCCTTCACCAGCTCAAGCAGAAACCTCAGGTCCTCCTTCCCCATGGATTCGATCACGATGGACAGCTTCTTCTTGGAGAAAAACGTCAGGATTGATGCGACAAAATTCCAAAAGTTGGAGGCTATGTCAACGACTCTGCCAGGGCAGTTGAGGGCCGGCTTGAAGGCCGACCACTTGCCATCAGTCGTGGTGTTGACGATGTAGTCGTACTTCTTGCCCGAAGAATTGCTCAGTGCCGCGCCTTCCGGGGTCTTGTAGTCCAGCACCTCGTCGGCGCCGATGTTCATGACGGCCTCCAGGTTGCGCGCACCGCAGGTGGCGGTGACGTTGTGGTTCCCGAGCTTGGCGAGCTGGACGGCGTACGTGCCGATGCCGCCCGATGCCGCGGTGATCAGGATGTTGCTGCCGCGGCATGTGCCG